CAATTAGAACTACTGTAAGTTATCATTTTTGTTTTCCTGCAAATCGTATACACACAAATATCTTGGAAATAGATCGAGGGATCAACGACAAACCTAATAAGTGCATGATTTTCGTAGGGTTACTAGTGTGAAAAATTAATCCCAAGGAAATTAAATGAAATTTTATTTGCCATAGGTATGGTTTACAAAAGATGGTACACATCTATATTATATAATTTAGCAATTTTAAAGCAATTCTAATAGTAGTGCAGAGTTAATAACTTTTATTATAATAACGCAGACACACTCAACATAGCCCCGCACTAGGGAAACCCTGTGTCGCGGGTGCCATGGACACACACATAGACAACCACAAATTACACCCAAACTCACGAGAGAAATAAATGTAAGCCATACAAACATTTCTCCCGGCCCGGGAATCGAACCTGGGACTTCTGCGTGGCAGTCCGGCATGGTGACCGTTCGGCCACGGAGGCAGATTATAATACTAAGTTATCGGGATGTCATGAAGATATAAAAAAAAATTGTAGGTGATTATTTTTTCCTTTTTGGTCAAATAGATTTTAATTAAATATTAATTAAATGTTAATTAATAAACAAAGTTTTCTTTGTCTTTGGTCAAAACCACAGACCTAAATTACTTCAACTTACTACTAAATTACTTTCGTGGTCAAAACATATACTTAAATTAACTAATTGTAGTAAGTCAGATTTGTTGAAGTTTTTATAAAAATAAGTCTTAAGTGGAGTAGAAATTTTTATCTCTTAGCCATGACATTAGCTTACGTTTGAACTTAAGATTATAATTTATCGATTTTATGTCTGACGGTAAGGCGTTATATCTTTTCACACATTAGCCCCGCATTGTTTCTGGTAATAACTTAATTTGCTAGTACTATTATACACTAACTTGTCTAGGTTTCTTACATTTATATTATGAATATTCCGACTCTTTTTAAAGAGCTTAGGTACTGTTGTAGTTATCGAGTGCTTAGGTTTTCGCGATTGTTACACATAGGAAATGAAACTAATTAATAACTAATGTAACTATAGTGAAAAAATAGGGTGGTTTGCATCAATATTAGACATAACTGGTTGAAGACTGTACCACCTCAGTCAACCGTGACCATGGGACCTGTAAAGGGCCCGAAACGTCGCGTCTCGGTTTGTTTGAAAAAACAAATATACGCGATTTAAATCCGGAAAAATAGTTTCATTTCCTACTATTGTACTTTACAAATTTTGACACTTCAAAAATTTACATGCACGGCAGCGGTAAGATGATAAGCGATTTCATAATTAAAGTGATTTGTCTTGTACGTAGGATGGGCTATAGTTACATAATATACAGCCTGTCAAAATATGCCATTGTAAATTGATAAAATCTTTTATTTGCATCATGAACATTTGACATTTTGCATACTTTAGTGTGCGGCCTGGCGTTCGTGATATATAAGCCACATGTAATCATAAGAACGAGACCCTTTAATCATGGAGAAAGTATTCGTATAAAAAACGTGCAATTTTACGCTCAAAATTTACGAGCGGCTGGGAATAATAAACCTCGAATTTCCGTTGTGAAAGTGCGAAGGCAATTGTGGAATTTTTCGGTGGCCGGTAATTAGCGAAATTAGTTTTTATTGCGTAAGTGCAAAGGGTCAAGTCGCTGTGAGAAACTAGGCTTGCGCATACTTAGGCAATTTGTCGCCTGGTGCACAGGTCGTGCGTTAAGACTCTAAGGGTCGTATGCTAGAACTCTATTCAATGCTTAAGTCAGGATTGCACTGGCAACACAAGCACTGGAAATACGACCCTAATGGCAAGGACTTGAGTATGATTTTCAGTGCTCACTGCAATACTCAAGTTCTGATCTGAGTATTGAGTAAAGTTCTAGAATACGGCTCTTAGGGTCGTATTCCAGAATTCTACTATCGCGTAATAAGCAGAAACAGGGCCTAAAATGGCAACACTGTCAAAAGTTAAATAGATCTCACAACACTGCAAGACTGAGCCGGAAGTCAGAGTATCAATTTTTATATTATTTTTATTTTTTATTTATAGCACTTATAATAAAATAAGACAAGTTAATCTTTTATAAGTAAGACATTTATTATTAACTTACTTAAACTGGAGTATAAATTGTCTGAAATAAATTACCTATCCTTATTTTTATTATTATATTTTTTTATCAATGCCATTGGGGTGTCTTTCTCCTCATGTGGTAGGCTTGAAGCGTTTAATAAAAAAATTAGGCCCTTTAACATTTTGCAACATTACGAGGTCAGTGTCTAAATTGAAGTTGTTACAGTTCAATGAGTGAAGTATTTCCACGATTTTCTCAAGTAATTTAATGATCAGATCATAGACAGGTTTATTGCTTAATACCGCACCTTTCGCACATTTGCAAAATGAATTTGTTTATATATAGCAAGTGACTGGGTAAATAAGTCGTGCTCCTGGTGGTAAGCGACACGCCTGTCGATAACAATTGCAATGCCACTTAGAGCTATAATTCGCAAAGATCTCAGGGGCACTGCCACTGCGTCCGTCAACCTGAGCCATAAGCTGACAAGTCCTGTGTCTGTAATTCCACGAGCACCCTTACCCTTCCAAACCGGAACGCAGTAATGTTCAAATTACCGCTTGGCGATAGAATTAGGTAAGGTGGCACTTCCCTGGACGAACTCTTTCACAAGGAGCTCTAGGTACTGCTACTAAAATAACTTTTTGGAGTATATTATATCAGGGGTTTTTTAAATTTTAATTTTTTTTAAAGTTCTGAATGCACAAATTTAACGCGTTGTTACCAAATTAAAATAACATGCACGCGATCCACAAAATACATAAACTATCTAAGTATTTCAAACTTGTGCCTTACATCTGTTACATGGTGTATAAATTTGCGGTATAACCACTGAGCTGTGACCTTATTATTTTCGCGAGCCAATACTATCGCTTCATTGCACTGCACAAACATGACCCAGTCCATATCCGGCTCGAAGGACCTTTGGCTAGTAAATTGTCAAGTCTCATATTTATTTCTTTATTTTTTGTGAACGATATATAGCCGCTGGCAGCTGAGGGTCTCGATTTGTGTGTATTACAAAAGAAAATGACGAATAACAATGTTTCATAATAATTTTATGAACTTGTGAGCTTTTGTAATAACCTTAACTGACGCATAGGGTGTAAGGTTTTTTCATAATTCGAACAAAATTAAAAGGAACCGGAACACATTCAGCCTTATGATTTAAAAAAAAGCTATGATTGACGTAAAGATCGAAACAGAAAGAAATACTCCTTCGATCTGATTGGACTCGAACCAGTGTCTGTTGCCGTGCAGGAACCACCGTTCTTACCGTTCATAAAATTCATCGTGATATAATACGATATAAAATAATTTGGATTAGTTTATCAAAGTAATTGTTCAGTGTTGTTCATTTATTCATATTTCACAAAATTAAAATACTCAATTTATTTCAAACACCAAGAAAATCCTTACAAAAATTTAAAAAAAATATATAAATGTAATTTGGGATATTTAAAAAAAATTAACGACTTTCAAAAGTATTTTCATTTCTAAAGTGGTAATGGTTGTATTATAATGACATAATTCTAATTGTTGTAATTTTACATTCAATTTTAATTAAATAATCGTTTATTTGTAATATTGCTGTTTAATTTCCTCGCAATCGAAGTGAAAAGCAGAGTGTATAACTCGTTCATAAAACCCATTTTACCCTCGACTTAAGTATCCTATATATAGGATGTACTTGTCTCCGTTCCATGACGCGTTTTATGCACTTGTTGTACAATCTACTATTTATCACATGCCGTACCCGGTGGTAAAAGAATCAAGAAGTATGAAGGCAATTGGCAGCAATTAACACGATTACCCGGTCGCTATGGAGAGTTCAATTAGAGAAATTATGAAAGGGAGTGTTCTATTCTGAACGGATACATCGTTATGCTAGCGAATTATGACAATTAATAATTCATTAATATAAAATGATCAATTATAAATAGGAAACCAAAATAGGGAAAAATCTATGCAAATGCGGTTTGAATTATTTGTTGTTTACAGCTCATAATGTAGTTCATATAATCTATTTACTTATTGTTTGCTGTGGTCATTTGGCCAGTCTTAATATTATTTTGTTTTTAGAAAATTTCGGTCAGTCAAGACCATGGGGCATTTATAGGGCCCGAAATGTTGATTTATTTGTAAAAAAAACAAACGTAAGTGATTTAGACCCGAAAAAATTTTTTCATTTCCTACGTGTAAAAAGCGCGAAAGCCTAAGAATTCGATATTATTATTATATTTAGATTTTATTGTGTCCCAGAATAACGAAATGAATTCGAGGTACTACCCAAAACACTTACTGTCTATTTGTTCCTAAAATTCATTGTACCCATGCCTTGACCTCGAGACTTCCTATAGTACAATGTTATTTTCATAAATAATTATAACATTTGAAATGTTTGATATAAACTATTATAAAAATTCTTTTGTTTAGTGTCTTTGTAGTAAAAATTAAGAAAAGCAGAATTTACACTCGGGTTAAAACAACAATATCACAATTCCAAATATCTTATGTGCAAATAATAGTTTCCTTTCTGCGATAAGCAATCTAGTCTCTTGATAAATTGGAACGTTTAGACAATGATTAATACGAATCACTATTACTGTAAATACCAAAAAGACTATCAGCAAATAGTAAACATTATAGTACCTATACTATAGGCTGTAAGTCACAGATACACAATATTATGTGTATAAGCGTTATTTAAAGACAATAGTTTGTGGGATAATTAATTAGAACGCTAGACTAGGCTCTGTATAGAATCTTTAACTTTTTATGTTTTGTTTGCCTTACTTTTGTAACGGGCTTCGTGAACTTAATTAAGTTTAATAGTAAGTACGACGCAAAGTTATAAGAAAGAAGTACCTACTTACTTACCGAAACTACTACTTACTAGGTATGTGGAAGAACTTACCTTCAATTTTGATTTATGAACCACATCATTATTTTGTAGCGAATCAAAAGCATGCCAGATACAATTAGTAACGTTCTTCAGTAACGTAGACATTTTCCACCAATCACGTTCTCACATTACTTTTTTGAATTTCGAGTTTATTTTTTTAAGTTTAAAAAGTGAACGCGGCGTGCACCTCTCTCGTGTTCGGTATTCAAACTGACGATGCGGGACGAAGGCGAGGAGGCGCGCTATCAAGTCAGAGGAAGTAGGTGAAGCGGAACAATGCGTAACATGACGTAGGGTTGTCAATTTTTATTATTATTCAATAACATGGTAAATAAACAAATAAAATAAAATAAACATTATTTTGTACACTTTTAAGTTGGGTACGTTAGAGAAATAATGAAGATTTAGTAGCAGCAAAAAAATTTTTTTTTGTATGGAGAAATATACATTTTATTTTTTATCTCAAAATATACGAAAATGTAATGTGCGTGGGTTACTTACAGTATAGTTCCAATCATTTTCTATGTAGAACAAAATAATACGTCTGCATATACTTGCGGTTTTGTAAGTAAAGGTGCGGCAAAATTGCTAACTCTTTTATATACTTTATTAACGAAATATATGAGCTTTTAGTGTAATTTAGAGAGCGCTATAACAATAACATGAAAGTTAAGTAGAAACTAGTATATTGTGTTAAAAAATAAATAACAAATCTTAAATTTTGACACCTATTTTCTGGTAAAGCCGCAAGTATTTGCAGATGGATTATTTTTTTGTTGATAGAGAATGATGGACCTATATTGTAAATAAATCACACACATTACATTTTCCTACATTTCGATATAAAAAATAAAATGTTTATTTCTCGAAACAAAAAACTACAAACTTTTTTCTCCGAAACTATCAACTTTTCAAGAAATTATACAAGAATAAAATTAATAAAATAGAATTGTTAGGAACGTTATTATCTATCATATAAAAAAAAAATCCTCGATACTCCACAAGTTATTCCTATGTCCAAGGATTATCCACTTGGGCCCACTGTGTGGCGTCGCAACTGTTATGGATAGCCGTGTCGCTTACTACCAGGCGCATGGTTTGTTCGTTCTATCACTTAGTGTTATAAAAAAAAAGAGAAGTCTTAGAGACAGTTCATAATTATAATTAACAAGTAGGGAAGATGGAAGAAAAGTTCTCCAGTGGTGACGTCGAAGTAATGGAAGACGTAGGTAGTACCAACCTTTCGGATCCAGACAGCCGTTAGTTTTAAAGGTTGGAGGCAAAGACCTATGTTCATGAGCGAACCTTTGACGAATAAAGATGGTGAAATATGCAGAACTATAAGCAGATTAAATAAAAATGATTTTTAGTTACTTAGGTGTAATTGGAAACAGTTTCTCAATCGAGAGCTTGTTTTTACGTTTCGGAAAATCGACTTCCACTATAGGTATAGGTACCATTTAAAATCCGCATTGTTCTTTGAGTATTGGACGATGACCAATTTAATCTTATATACCATTGACTTACAAATAAATGGACGACGGGTCTAATACAAAAACCACGAAAAATATGTCCCAAGTCAACCTATTCGAAATTTAAATTGTAATGTCATCGTAGTATCGCGCTGTCAGTAGAACAAATGAAGACTAAAGCGGAGTGTCGCGCTCTGTATACGATTTTAGCGCCTTACAAGTGCGGACACTTTTTAGCGCGGACCCGACGTCCATATAATTGTAAGTCAATGTTATATACAAAAAAAAAAAACGATGACTGTAAGGCTCAACTCACACTGGCGCAGAAGTATAAGTCGAAGTAAAATATATAAGTCGAAGCGTAAGAAGGCGAGCACCTTTAATTTTTTTTTAAGATTCTAAATGTAACTGCAATTGTTGACAATTGTTAGGGCTATTTATTACCAGTATAACAGTTGCCCTGAAAAGTTGAATAAATATAATTTTGAAATAATTTTTGGAACATGATACCAATAACCTCTGAACATAACGCATGTACGAAACCCAAGCAACCCAAACAAGTACGCGTATGATAGTGCTTTCACAAATTTTTGTATGAAATATTTACAAGTAAGTATTACATTTTTTTTCAACAAAGATCTTTGTAGTTTCTTTATCCGTAGACAATCGACAACAATTTGTCTAAATTGTTTGTTGGAAATGTGAAAATTTGTATCATATAGTTTGCATGTCCTTGGAGCTCTGTTACGTTAGCGAAGAGGAAGGTGTAACAGAGAGTAGTAACTGTAAAAGCCTTTACATTTCTTCAAAGCTCAGCAACACAAAATCGTAATGTAACAACATCGTCGTGTCCTATAAGTTTACACTTACTTTATACTTCTTTAATTAAATGAGATGTCAAATTTTTGACCTTCAAAATATTATTGCCAGGCCATGACAACAATGTACCGGTTGTATTATTTATTATGTAATTGTGTTATATTGTATGTATATGTAAGTGCTGTATGCTGTAATTTGTGAATAAATAAGTAACGCCGTTACTTAACAACGTTGCAGTGATAAGGCCGCGTTTTACCTTCGACTATTTACGTCGAATCGAACATCCATTCATGTCCTCTCTCTTTAAATTTTATTAAATGCTCTTTGTTTCTTATGAGTACGATGCAATAATTAAATAAAGACTTTCATAAATAGTTCTCGATTTTATTTTTTTGAATATTTGAGTTTATAAAAAAGGTGATTAAAACATCATATTTTGACTGCCTAAATGCCTAGTCAAAAACGATCTCAGAAGTCTCGTTTTTCCCGGTATTTTTGTTTTTCCACATTGTCTTTATATAATCAAAGATTATCTATAGTGAAACAATTCTCTTATTTATGTGGCGTTAAGGATACTATAATAAAATAAATGTAATAAAATAATCTCCACATTTGGAGCCCGTTTAACATACTATCTACTTAATAGACATCTTGAACACACGAGTGGTCTACAAAAAGGATATCTAAGCTGTAATAAAGTATTGTAAGTAGAGTCAAGAGAAAAATGATTTTGAAACGGTTCTAATAGTCATATTACAGAATCATACCAGAAAGTCATGATTAATCGATAATATGAAAGTTTGGTGCAAGCAGCACTGGATATATCGAAATATTAGTAAATGCTTACAAGGTTTGTATCTATCATCATAAGCGGTAAAAGTTTCCATTCTAGTTGCAGTAGAGCACCTTGTAAAGCCTCCACCACTGTATGTAACGTTGTTGGTCAATGAAACGCTTGTCTTTTTAACTGTAGAGACTATATTATAAATAATTTAAAAAAAAATACGCAAACAGAACAGAGCGGGGCCATTTAACATACAGTACAGTACCATACACCATATACCACCAATACACCACCCTCCCTCTGTATAAAATGTGGAGGGTCTTTTCTTGTATTTATTCACTTTAATATTTAAAAATACATTCATATCTCTAAAGTTATTTTTTACGCCGATAATATCCTGTTTTTTTCACATTCTATTTGTTTTTTTGTCGTCATTGGATTCGACTAAGGTGTAACTGGCTGGTAAAAGTGGCTACTGTACACTCACAAATGAGGGGCTATTTTTGCTCTCCTAACTCCTTGTGAAAGAGTTCGTCCAAGGAAGTACTGCCACCTTATCTATTCCTGCCGCCAAAAGTAATATGAGCATTACAGCGTTCCGGTTTGGAAGGGTAGGGGTGCTGGTGAAATTACAGGCACCTGAGACTATGTCAACTTATGTCTCAGGGTGACGGGCGCAGTGGCAGTGGCAGCATTGCGATTTAAAGCTCTGAATGGCACTGCAACTGTTATGGATAAGTGTGGCGCTTACCACCATGCGCACGACTTGTTCGTTCGAAATATTACCGACATTTACCGGTGGTTAACGTTTTTAAAAATGTCATGGGCATTTATGCGAATAGAGCCTGGGCTATCTTGAATGAAAAAGTATTCAAATGTTGTTAAAATTTACAGCTCAATTTAATTAGTTGTTTTGGTAGTAACATTCCATCATTTTAATTTTCGCCCTTCAAGTGACAATTAAAATCATCTACTCGTGGTTCGAAGACAGGTACAGGCTCCCCGTCGGGAACCGAACTCAAAACCTCCTACATAGGAGGCAAACGCTTCCCAAAGAGAGATTCCGAGGAGGTTGATAGGTATGCGTTACAATGTCAAGTAAAATTAAGTTTGAATACTAAAAAGGAATTTCACTTGCATTAACATTTGCAGCCATCCAATGCATCTCTGGCAGTCAAAAACAATTTAAATAAGCGTCCTCATGAGTCATGCGCAGACGCAGAAGGCGAAAGCACGCAAGGCCGCGGTGTTATGATGAGTAATATTACGGGTATCGATCGATGCCTTATCGAGATATTAAATGACATTGGTGAGATTTTTGGAAGGCTTACAGCAACTTTCAATTGTTATTGAAAGTAATACACAGTTTGATACAAAACAATAAAGAAAGAAGAAACATTTCTATAATGTACAATGCGTTCTTTTATAAACAGGACGTGAGCGTCACTGGTCATTTGCATCGGTCAGATACGCAAGCATTGCCGGCTTCCGCAAATCGTTCAGAGCATCAAGTACGACTCTGTCTCTGTATATTAGAGCGTAATTTAACGATGTACTTTAATCATAACGCATTTAATATGTTATATTAGCATATCGTCGGGGATAGTGCTATTACGCGTAACTAGCATTGGATTACGTGTTTCCATTTAGGTAATTTAGTGGCCAAATCAAATCTGCGTATATGTCGTGGCAACTAAATTAGCGTGATTTACCGGAATCTGTTATTATCAGTCCGTAGACAACATAAATTAATGCTTACTGTGTAAAAATGAAAATCGTAGCCATTGACATAACAAAGTAATAACGATAATCTCTCTCTGTAAAATTGGGTTTAGCGCAGATACGTTACCTTTTACCGATGTTACATACGCGGGTTTGCACTATCCCCGACGATATTACATTATTTAAAAAGAAAATAAATTACGATTACAAAATCAACTTCAGAAATTCTAAATAAAATACGGAAATTCATTAATGATTTATTTAGTAATTATTTGATTTGATGATTTCGTTTGAAGTTGATTTTATTAGATAGTTAAGTTATT